TTAATTAACATTGCACTTAGACATAACATTTACATTAATTAATATAATTGTCAGTTTAATATAACACAATTGGTTCACAATCATATAAAGCATTAATTAACATTGCACTTAGACATAACATTTACATTAATTAATATAATTGTCAGTTTAATATAACACAATTGGTTCAGAACCATATAAAGCATTAATTAATTAGCTTAGCATTGCACTTAGACGTGCATCGCATTAATATAATACAATAAATTCAGAAATGTATATTATGAATTAACTAAGGTCTGACTATAGCATTAAAGAGTTCTACTATGTATCACAATGCATATATAGAGAGTTCAGTAAATAAAAATAAATATAAGCTCTATCAATTCGTGAGTATGGTTCAGGATTATTCTTGAAAATTCAAAATTATCATCAATAGCAACATGAAGTTATCGAATATTATTGTATTTTTCGCGATGTTTTTGACCATCTATGGTAAACGGATAATTGTAGACAATTTCTTGTATTGATAATTGTAATAAACTAATACGGTTCAATAATAACTATAATAATATATAGCCAACGCTCAAGAATTTGAGGTAGAAGACTATAATTCAGACCCTTGTTACAAACCATGCATGTCGAAGGCAGAAAATACTGACGGCCAGGATAGATATTATATATCAGGCGATTGTTACAATGAATGTAATAATCCACAAGGATGATAAACATATACTCATCAGGCAAGTATTTAAATTTATTGATTCATTACCATATACTTAACATTTTTGCATATAAAATTACATTTTAGATAGTTTAAATAAATTTATTTTTTCATATTAAAATAAACTTAGAACTCATTAATGTGCTTACAAATACAAGGCACTTGGCCACTAAGTGAGCCGTGAACGATATTTGTTTGTGTTTTATTATTTGATACAACTCTTGCAAATTTCAAATAGTCGATATTGTTTAGTGTATTCTTAACTTACAATAAAATTTAATTTATTATTTATCTGTTAAATTAAACCATATTTGCCTAACTTTAACCTAGATTATCTGATCTATCGCATTTTCAGTAGTAGGCTTGTTCTAACTTTTGTGCGAAGATGTTCTAAACCCAAAGCACAAAATTTTATATAATTTTAATTATAATATTTAGCACCTTCTAAAGAATTTTTTTATTTAAAAATATCTTATAGTTTTTTTGTAGTAATCACAACTTCTCTATAGCATGAAAAAAATCATCCCTTTAATTCAATCGGCTACGAAGATCATTTTTCATTATGCAGTATGAAGATCGTTTTAAGGTTTTTGCTCTTGCAAACCTTATATTAAAACTATTGTCAGAATATACCTATGGCTATATTTTTTCTTAGTTTATCGTCATAGTCATCATTGCAAGAATATCATGAACAAAAAGGTAAACCGATGCAAACTGTATAAAATTATATATATTAGGGTAGCTGCGCAGCGCGTGACGCGCGCAGAACCAGTACGATCTCTTGCACAAGTTGTAGTCTGGGCAATAATTATATTTATTGACTTCTCGTTTGTCAATACTAAGATGATCGTTTTAAGATGCCCTTTTTTTTTTCTTAACTCGTGCTTCATTATTTTAGCTTAATGGTTATTTTTTTTAATTCGATCAGTTTTTATTTATATTATTTGGAGTTTTTTATGATTGGTAATTGATTTTATTTAATTATCGGTTCTTAAACTTTGTAATCTATTAATTATTAGAATTTACACACTTTATTGCTTCTTTTTAGTTGTTACGTTAGTGACGTTTGTTTGTGACTGATTATTGGTTCTGTTTTTGTTGTATTTTTAAGTAGACGTTAGATTTTTATTTTATTAGTTTATTAGGTTATGATGTAAATTTGTAGTAATATGTAGTAATCAAAATGGTGTTTATATGTAATAAACTTGTTATTACTATTATCGTTGTTCTATTTGTATATTTGCGACGATCAATTAGTGTTAGCTGATATTTATTAATACTTATATATATATATTTGTGGGTTCTGGAATTAAAGATTTTGGGCATTCGTTTTATTATTTATTTATTTTTTTTTATGTTAAATCAGATTCAATGTGTTAAATATAGATTTGGGCTTTTTCATTTTAATATAAATAGCTTTGTATTTATATATGTTGTTATTAGATTTATATAGGATTATTTTGTTGCTCATACGCCTTTTGGAAGTTTTTTTGTCATGATTATGTAATTTAATGACGATATTAGTGTATGTGAGAGTGAAAATTCGAAATTTTTATTATAGTAATTATTATATGTATTTTATGTTATAGTCGTAGTATATTAATTCGAAATAAGTTTACATTGATAGGTTTATTACTTATTTTGTTTCGAATGTAATGTTTTGGTTATTGTTACGTCAATAGTTATTGATATGAGATGTAATCATTATTATATATTATATTATTGCATTATTTTATATAGTAAAATTTGGTTGTGAATATTGGTATTTTTTATTTTATTTTTTTTTCACGTTATGACTTCTATAATGCCTTGTTATATTGATACAATTGTAAAAATTAGTCAAGTTCGTCATTCTGATAAAGAAGAATCAAATCTAACTGTTGTGTGGGTGATAGGTGTCTATCCTGTTGAGAGTGAATATTGAGAAATTGAGATAGTTCTATTTATCCCAGCAGTTGAATATGAGAGAGACATTAATTCACAATCCGTCTTTGTTAAGAATGAATATTATAGTGTTGGAGGAAAGGTTATTCCTGGAAATTATAATGACAATTTGAGATTAGAAGTTAGTAACAGTTAATTTTTTTTATATTATAGATTGTGAATTATATGTTATTCTTTATTTATTCCTTTTTTTTTTTTTTAGATGACTGTCGCTTCATTTACACATCTTGCAATTAGAAGAGATCCTGATTCAAATAGATGCCTGTTAAAGGTTTTATTGGTTAATATAATTCAGGATGTTGCACAAAAGGTTAATGAAGAAAATGCAATGGTTAGGGTGTTAGTAAAAGATTATGTTGATCAGAGTAATTCTTTTATTATTAGAATCGTATTTCCTTATAATAACAATCAATTCAAATATTTGATGAATTCTGTTCATCCTGATGAATCATTGATGTTTGTTATTGGACTGATGGAAATTATACAAGATGATTTATATGTATATGCTATTGAGACTTCTTACGTCGATTTTGCTTTCCAGGTAAGAAAAAAGCCATCAATTCTAATGATTCTTAATCTTTATTGGGGTTACACAAAGCAGTTCAATCAAGACTTTTGGCTGTCATTAGGATGCAAACGGAAATTCTTTTAAAGAATTTGCTACTGAAAGTTATAGTAAATGTAGAGAGTCAAATCAGTTTATAACTGAATCACCTGCGTCTAGCTCTCATTCATCTAAATATGTAAGGGTAGAAGATGAGGATCCGAATCATATTGATTCTGATTATGTCGAGGATAAGTGTGAGTATGATAAGGGTTACACAAAAAGTGCTGAATCAGATGAAAATGTCATTGATATAAGTAAAAAGTCAGGACGTAGTTATGAAAAAGCAAATAAAGGGGAAATAAATTGTTCGATTGTACATAATATGAGAAAACGAAGTGAGATGCTCAAAAATATGAATGATAATGCTGTTGGAGAGGAGTACAAGAAAACAAATTGAGTTATTTAAAGTGAAATATAGTGATCATGATAAGGTGTAAGTTTTTGAGTTCATGTCATTTTTTTATTATTTGTAAATATTTGTTTATAGTTCCAAGTGTTTAATAAATTCGTTTCATGCTTATAATGTGTGGTTTAATAAATTCTAATTAGTAAAGTCAGTATAATTCAAGATATAGTTATATCTTTTTAAGAGCACGCTTTCAGGATTATAGTAAAAAAAGGCAAAGTGTGTGCTTAGAGGTGTAGATTTAGAGGGGTTAAAATATATAATTATATTATTTGTGATTAAAAAGGGTGTAAACTTCAAGGAGTTTTTATATACTGTGTATTTAGGGGTGTCTAAGACTTTTTTTGCTTATGTTCATGTCTAAATGTTTACAGTGTTTACAACTACCCAAAGATATTTAGGCTTTAAAATTTAATGAATTGGTTTAAAAAAGATATATTTATATATTTTTTATAGTTCTGAATATTTTTATGAAAAAATTAAAATAGGTTATTTAAATAAAATTTTGACTACAGTTTGTCCAAAGCTGTTCCATGACATCACTGTTTAGTGGTGCTATTGACATGAATTTAGTTCTTGGTAAAGGCCTAACCAAAGAAGGATGCACAAACAAAAATCTCGCCATCCTATAGAATTCGAATTTCGAATACAGAAACTTGCCTGTAAACCATACACTTCGTTTCATTATGTTCTTAGTATAAATAAGATTTTTAATTTATTACTAAGATTTTTTGTTTTTTTTTAACACCATTTTCATGTGACATAATTATTTAAATCTGTTATTTTTTTTTTTCTCTTTTTTCTTTTTTTGAATTAGTAATTTATCATTATATAATTTGTTCTAATAGTATAAATTAATTAAGCAATATAATAACAAAAATGTGTTACAAAACACGATATTCGTATTTTATTTATGTTTCATAAGTAACTGGTCTGTTATTTTTGAACATTCCTCAAAATGTTCAAGTTCTTTTTTAAGATCTGGGTCAGGCATTATATTAAGTTTAGTTCAGTCAAAAGGTTGTAGTAATATGACATCATTTAATTTCTGTATCTGAGACAATATTACATAGACACCGGCTCCAATTTTTCTGTCATCTAAGTCAACAATTATTTTGTCCAATGTAGTGCCTTGACATTTGAATTCTGTAAGTGCAAATGCCAGAGTGATAGGTAATTGGGTTCTTTAAAATTCTTATGTTATACTTGATCCATCTTTTATTTTATGCGTGAATATACATTTTTGTTTGATTGGATAAATTGGTACATTATTTAAGGGAAGGTTATCATATGGTCCTGGCTTGTGATTTAGGAGTTCCATTACTATGTATTTAGGAGGTTTATTAAATGCAATAAATCTTTCTTTATAATTACTTATATTTTTCTCTATAGATATTCTTTATCATATACAATTTTGTGAATTATTCCTTGGGCACCATTTACCATGCGATTATTAGTACAAATATTTATTGTTAGGGCTACTTTCATACCTATTGATAATGGTAATATGCCACATAACAGATTTGATTTGGTATCTGATATACTCAGAAATTTTTGTCATATATTGCCATATACTGGTTTGTTTTGTATGTATCTTCAGCATATATGTAGTAAACTGATTGGTTCTGATTTCTTGCATGTTCTATCATAGCCTTGAAATTTATTTGAACTTGTAGATCATTTCTTTGAACTAGAAATGTAGCATTTTTCCATTCTGAAGAGTTCATCTCATTTTCTGTTATTACATGATTACATAAAGTTTTATATTGAATTGGTGTTAGATAATCGCATTGTAAATTATTTAATAAAGTGGCATAAGTTGAGTCATTGATTTGATGTATTTGTTTTCTTAATATGATTACTTGATTTACTGCTTTCCATAATTCTCTACCATTAGTGTTAATTAAATTTTGAGTATTACTCAAGTTTGTATTTCTCATTCGATTTTTTTGCGAATTTATAGTCTTGTTATTATTGCTAAGTCAGTATAAAGGTTGATCAAGTACTGGCAGGAGTTGTAGAAAGTCTCCAACAAATATTATATTTAAACCAGCAAAAGGTATAGTATCATCCTGAAAAATTTTTGCTTCTTTAATATATGTATGTAATTGTGTAATAAGTCTTTGTCCTATTATTGAAACTTTGTCTATGATAACATATTCTATATTTGCCCATCTCTCTTGAAGCATTTTTTTCAATATTTTTTTGAGAAAATTATATTTACAAGTGCCATAATCATCATCAAATCCAAATTCACATAAAGAATAAAGAGTACAATTACCAATATTTGATGCAGTAACACCAGTTGGTGCACAAAGGTTAAAGGTTATTTTTTGATTAGTTTGATCAAAGTATTCTGCAATAGCATTAATAACTTTTGATTTGCCTGTACCTTCAGCACCACTTAGAAACATTAATAACTGAGGTAGTTTATTAAGATTGTCAGAGTAGTTTTGTTCACAATGATTACAAACAAGTAAGAAAGCTTTTTTTTGTTCATCATTAAGGTCTGCCAAAATTTTTTAAATTATTGATTGTGAGATAACTAGTTTATTTCAATTAGTTGCATGTGTAGGAATATTTAAGCAATATATTTTTTCAGAATTTATATTATTTTCTATTTGGTCTATTTTTTTTCTTGATGATATAATATCCTGCCATGATTAGATCATATAATCATTATTTTACAAGAAGATTGTACTTGTTTTTTATCATTATAATTTATAGCATCAGGTTCTTTTTGAAAGGTTTGTTGTTCTTTTTTTTTAATATTAAACTTGTCTTTTAAATATAAATAAAATATTACATTATCAATAAATTTTATATCATGCAATCCAGAATGTATAAATTCATATGAGCTTGAAAAAATTAAGTTATTTATATTAAAATCATCTTGATTATCTAGTAGGTCTACATCATCAGTATTGTCATAACCTATTACAGATCTTTTTATTCACTGAACTCTTGCAATTTCTGGGTCTTTGTAAATCATTTAGCATAACTGATGATCTAAAACTGTTTTTTCTGCACATCATGCAGAAGTTTTATATTATTAATTATAAATTGTATTCATATTGATAAATTTGAACTTTGTAAAAAAGCATTGCAAGCTTTATGCTAAGAGTTGTAACCTATCATTAAATTATCTGCAGATGTCCATAGTTTAAATAACAAAAGAATACAGAGTTCATAACATTTAGTATTTTTCAAATCTCTTTATGTGGTATTCCTTTTCTATATAATACAAGTATTTTTTTATTTTCATAAGACTAGTAAATTTGTATATATGTTGTGTGCTATGGATGTATTATATTATGATCACAAGTTTCATTACATTTTCTTTCTCCACCTAAAAACAAGAACCTATCTACTCTTGTAGTATGTCCCTCATGACTTTTTTGTCTGTTGAGTTTGTCTATTTCTTTGTCATTGATTTTTATTTTATGAATTGTTAATACATAGTCATACAGACATATATTTTTTAATTATTTACCTTAGTACATATAGTCAATTCTTAAATTGACTGCATTAATTCATTCATCTGAATTTACTATTATAAACATTTCATTATCTATAAGATTATACTTATTATTATTACTGTTATCTTCCTGATTCGAATTATTTTCAGTATTAGCAGTATTTGAGTTTTTTGAAATAATTGTTTTGAATATACTTTCAATAGGGTACCATGATAATAGATAGTTTTCAAAGAAATTAAGATATAATAAAATAAACTTATTAGAAGTATAATAATCCTTAAACTCTAGAAGATACATTGATATCTGAGGTGCAGTCATTTCCATTTGCCCTACAATCTTGTTAAGACACATTGTAACAAGTTTTCATAATCTTGATATAAAATCCAATGATTTATCGGAATCTGATACTTTAGTAATAAATTTATTTAAGGTTATAGCACATATGAGGAATGAATTATAGATACTTGTATTAGATTTCATTATATAATTTGTGATATAGTAAATATATACAAGTGCTAGTTTGACAGTTACAATAAATCTAATATTGTTATATCCTCAACAGCTAGCAGTTACATAGGGATTATAATTATTAATATAAGCATTGTAATATTGAAGAGTGATAATCCCAAGTTCAAAATAAATTTACCAGATGCTTTAACTATTTCATGGGAGAAGTTAAAGTGACAACCAGATACTTTGTCACAGTAATATTTTTTACACAATTTAGTACATCTATGAAATAGGGTATGTTTTGCAATTCTTTTTTTTTTTTTTTTTTTTTTTTTTTAAGGTGAGGTTTTGCTCATATCTTTATTAATTTGTTAAAGAAGCCTCC